GCTCCAGAATCTGTGGCCACAACTTGGAACTGGAAAGTTTTCAGACTCTCAAAGTCAAAACTTTTCATCACAACAATGTCTCCAGTCTCTGAGTTTATGTTTAAGAATGAGGCTGTTCTCTCCTCACTTCCATCTCTTTTAATAAGATATGAAATATGAGCATTCTCATTTTCATCTTGATCAGACGCTTTAACAGAAAACACTGAATCTCCGGGATTGTTGTTCTCTGTGATATAAAAAGTATATGGGCTCATTAAAAACTCTGGTCTGTTGTCATTTACGTCTGACACCACCACACTGATCGTCTTTTCTGATGATAATGGATGATCACCTTCATCTTTTGCAACTATTTTCATATTATAATATGAATATTTTTCTCTATCCAGATGGGATTTAGTAACTAAAGAAAACATTTTTTCTTGTAAAGATGGCAATAATGAAAATGGTACATCCTCACTTAATGAGCAAATAACTTTGCCATTCAGACCAGAGTCCAGGTCATGAACACTGATCAGAGCGACTGTAGTTCCTGGTTTAGCATCTTCAGGAATGGAACTGGAAAATGAAGTCACTTCAATCTCAGGAGCGTTATCATTTACGTCAACTATTTTAATGATCACGCTTTTTTCAGTTGTAAGAGGTGCAACACCTTTATCCATAGCTTGGATTTCAATTTCATATTTGTCCTTTTCCTCAAAGTCTATCAGTTCTTTTACAAATATTTCTCCAGTTGCAGAGTTTATTTCGAATAGGTTTAACAGATTTTGATTGACACTGTTGCTAATTGAATATGTTAGTTCTCCGTTTGGGCCATCATCTAGGTCTGTTGCATTCACCATTATCACTGTTGTTCCTATTGGAGAATTTTCCTTCAGCATCACTGTATAATCATCTTCAGAAAAAATAGGTGCGTTATCATTTGTGTCTAGCACATTTATCAAAATATGCATATTACCCGATTTTGGTCGCTTGCCTCCATCTACAGCTGTGATGATCAGTGAGTGGTTTTTTGCTGTTTCTCTGTCTAAAGATTTTTGAACAATTAAAATAGGAATTTTACCATCATCACCTTTGTCTTTGATTTCCAAACGAAAGTGATCGTTTTGGCTCAGTGTATATTGCTGCACAGAGAATGGACCACTGTCTGGATCCCGTGCGGCTTTAAGCTGAATTCGTGCGCCAGGCATCACAGACTCTGAAATCTCCAGCGTGGTTTCATTCTCCTGGAAGCTGGGAGCGTGATCATTTACATCCAGCACCTCCACCCTAACGTAGTGCACTTCTAGCGGGTTTTCCAGCACCGTTTTTAAATTGATTAAGCACGCACTGCTCTGCGCGCACACCTTTTCTCTGTCTACAATCCGGTTCACGTAAAGGAATCCGTCATTTGGATTCACGTTGAAAAGTGGCTCGGCATCGCTCGAAACTATTCGATATTTCCTGTCCTTTAGAGTGTTTTTATCCAGTCCCAGGTCCTTCGCGATATTTCCAACAGCAGTTCCTGCATTAACCTCCTCGGAGACTGAATATCTTAACTGCGCTGACGCAGCGCTCCACATACAAAACACCACCATGAATCCGACCACATATCCTCTCGCCTTTCCTGGCACGAGCTTCCTTTGTCCCATGGTCATCCCAAACGTATCATTAATTCACTAAATAAGACAAGAACACATGTCCAAAGGCAGGATGCTAAACCCGGTGTCCAGGAAGCCAGTTCAATCTGCGCAAAAATACCCAGAATCTGATCTTTTCGACTTAAGGAGCAGAGAGACAATCGTGCTGCTGCTGAACAGGAAACAATAAAAAAGAGGTAGGACGACAGAAAAACGACAAAAAGGCTCATCAGAGGGCGACTTCTTATATTGCACTGACACCATGTGACGTTTTCCTCTCTGTGCACAAACATGTCTGCTCTTTGGTTAAAAAGCAAAAAAACAAACAGAAACGGTCAAAACACTCCATGGTGTTTACACAAGGCCACATATTTAACTGATGAATAGGCAATTCAAGGTCAATAAGCACGTTTATGAGATTATGCACAGCAAATACCTGTTGCAGATTATTGCTAGTTGTAACATCCCATGTAAGACGCTGTGGTGATCAGAGATACTGTGAGGATGAAGTCAAAGCATTTCAGGACCAAGGAGAACGACAGATAGATAAAGAAATACATCTGACTCTGACTCATAAAATCAGCAAAATAACACACTAGTGCTTGTTTAAACTTCCAAAAAAAAAAAAAAGTCAAATATTTTCCTTCTTTAAAAATGTACAAGTAATCTATGTAAAATAAGAAATGTGGTCAAAAATTATGCATAGAAGTTTTAATAAATAAGAACTTGGCAGTACATTACATAAATAAATAAATAATAATTACGCAGTAAGGATGCAACATAAGACAAAACAAACAAGTCTGCACACCTGGACTCACTTCCTACTCAGATTACATAAAAGCTTCAGTGTCCAGTGCCACGCCCCTTTTTCCTTGGGCATTCCTTCTTCCCCCTGATCATTGTTGTGGTGTGGTTGACACTGAACTTAATTCTGTGTACAGGGTATTTAGCTCAGATAAAATATTCCTTATCATCTGTGAACTTTACTAATTAAGAATGTTTGTTTAGATGAGAAGTTTGTTAGGGGTTCTCTGACATTTTCTTTTAACTAATTTTATCATGCTTTGTAACCAGCCAGGGAGCTTATTGTAGTTTTGTTTTGTTAGATAAGACGTGACTTTGTTTATAGTCAGACGGTGAAATCTTTTGTTTCTTGTTTTGGCCTTGAACACCTTGAAGTTCATGGCTTCCCTTCTGTCTGTAACACCCCAAACTATTAGGAGAATACATTATTGTATGCCATTTTGGGCTGTTTTTGAGTCATTACCTTTTTGTTTAGTTTACAATATGTGTTGCACCCTGCACCTCTTAGACGCAGTCAAAGGATTGTAGCAACCTGCATTTGATTATCTCCTTGTAGGTTACCACACAAGGAATATGTTTTTGATACATATAACACCTGTAAATGCTTATTGAGTGAAACCTGAGCCTGACGCTCACATGGCCTCCGGCATAATTCTTGTCCAGAAAAAAAATAATTATTCTCAGTGACTTGTGTTTAAAGTTTTACTTAAAAATGAAACATGTACAGCAAAAAAGTAAGCAAAAACAACTTATCCACGATTAGGTAATTAAACAGAAAAAGAGCTAGGGAGGTCAAAAAACTGTTTGGCTTCACTCACCAACTAGTCTGTCTGGACTTTCTCTCCTGACATGCCCCACCCACATCACATGACTTAAATACACATGTTACCAACCTCAAACCAACAAAGATCTACACACAAAACAAATAGCTTGAGTTATACATATAACCTTTACAAAATTTAGTTTAGGCTCATACAACACCTTCACAACAGTTATCACTAAAGTTACTTCTGGTTGTTTCCATTTGGAAAGTAAAGTACATTTTCCAAAATTTCTATTTTTCATTTCAGAAAAGAAAACAAGTTTTAGTGGAAGAAAAGTCATAGTATGTCAAAGAAAAGTTCATCAGTTGACCATCAGTCAGCTGTTACTCAATTTTTTTTTTTTAATTTTCACCACCTGATTTTTTTTTATTTATTATTATTTTTTATTATTTTTTTTGCATGATAACAATGTAAATGTAAAAGGTAGGGGAAAAAAAGTGGGTATTTGCAATAAAGCCAGTTTCGTCTTAAGTAAATATTTTAGGCACAGCAACAAGCACACAGTAACTGAAAGACACTTCTTAACTAAAATTTCTTACATCCAAAAATGCTTGCTTTTATCTTACCTCCTCAGATGTTTTCCTCCTGTCAGGTAAGACCAGTGTGTTTGCTTGACTTCCAGGTACTATAGTAGATCCTATGCTCATCCTGGGGCCAACTAACATGTAGCGTTTGTCTCCAGATCTGTACTGGATGCTGTGGCACAGTGTCCCATCATAATTAGCCTCCTGCAGATATTTAGAAGTAAA